AAGATGAAAAACAACAAAGCATCTGGCCCTGATGGCATATCAGCTGAGGTCTTCAAAGTTGGTGGGGAAACTGCGACCAACAAGTTCCACACACTGGGTGCATCTACATAAGATGCTAACTGCGCAGTAGTCTAATAACACTGTTCAGTAGCATGCTGGGCAAAAACTGTACTAATACACTACTGTGCAGTAGTATTAGGCTACTGCGCAGTAAGCATCAATAAAAGCCCATGTGCTGGTGCTACTGCACAATAGTGCAAGTTACTGCACATTGATTTAGTACTTGGTTAACTGAGTACTAAACTTAATGCGCAGTAACTACGGTGCATTAATGAATGAGTAGATGTGCCCACTGTTTCTTAAAATTTGGAACACTGAGGAAATTCCCACTGACCTAAGGAATATCAATATTGTCATTATTTTTAAGAAGAGAGAGAAGTCTAACTGTGAAAACTATTGGTGTATTGCCCTCCTCTCCATCACTGAGAAGATTCTTGCTCAAATTCTGCCGAACCAACTGTTCCCTTTTGCCAAAGAAATCCTTCCTGAATCTCAGTGTGGCTTTAGGCCATCGAGAAGCACCATGGACATGATTTCTGTGGCCCAGCAAATCCAGGAAAAATGCTGAGAGCAACACTAGGAATTGCATATGGCATTTATTGTATGACCAAAGCCTTTGATACTGTTAATCATGAGGCTCTCTGGAAGATCTTATCAAAGGTTGTCTGCCCAGGGAAATTTAATCAGCATCCTAAAACTCCTTCATGACCAGATGACTGCCTCCATCCTATACAGTGGCTCCACTACACAGCCCTTTGCCATTCAAATGGGTGTCAAACAGCGTTGTGTAATTGCATCTTCCTTGCAGTCATCAAAATGCTCATCCATGACGGTCTGCCACATGGCATTGGCATCAAGTTCAGGATGGATGGAAACCTTTTCAATCTCTCCTGCCTCCATGCCAAAACCAAAGTTCCATTGGCCTCGATTGTGGAACTTCAGTATGCTGATTGTGCTGTTGTCACACATACTGAGGAGGACCTACAAACAGCTCTTAACTGCTGCCCTCAAGCATACCAGTGCCTGGGACTGACACTCAACAACAGAAAAGCAAAGGTGCTTCACCAGCCTGCTCCAAGCCAATCAACTCTCCCAGCAAAGATCCTCACTGACAGACAGGAGCTAGAGAGTGTTAAACAGTTTGCATACCTTGGCAGCCATCTTTCAAAGAAAACCAACATTGATGAGGAGATCTAGTATAGGACCCGATGTGCTAGTGCTCTTCTTCAGAAGACTGTGTTCAATAATCACGACATAAGGACTCAAATAAAGCTCCTCCTATTTAAGGCTGTGGTAATCCCAACTCTCCTCTGTGGCTGTGAAGCTTGGCTGACCTTCAGGGACCACCCAAAAACCCTGAAACGCCTTCATCAGCACTACCTCTGGAGGATCTTTGGCATAAAGTGGGAGGATTGTCACATACATGCTAATGTCCTGACCAATGCTAACACCACCAGTATGGAAGTGTTGATTATTCAACATCAGCTGCGATGGACAGGGCATTGTGTCCATATGCCTGATGTACATTTACCAAAACAAGTACTATACTCCCGACTCATCCAAGGACAAAGGGCATGCGGGGGCCAGAAGAAACACTTCAAGGACACCCTCAAGACAAACATTAAGAAGTGTGGCACTGACATCATAAACTGAGAAAAACTAGCCCAGGACAAAGATGCATGGTGACACCTTGTGAGAAAAGGCCCATCTCACCCTGGAGGCAGAAAAATGACAGACATGGAAGGAAAGGAAAGAAGATCGAGAAATCTGCAGTCCAACCTTCCCCTTAACCACCACCTGTGGTGTCTGCCAGAGAGCCTGCCTCTGTGATCAGCCTTCTTAGCCATCAATGGACTCATCCATAACCCTTAACTTGCCCCATGGGAGTGATCATCCTTGACCATAAGGGATTGCTGATGATGAATGTAAGGTATGGTATATTCAGCTAAGTGACAACAATAATTGCATAAATACCCACATGGTTTTATTTTAAATTAAAAGAGTACAAGGCTTACCTTTAAGAGAGCCAAAGCAACATGAAAGATTATGTTCAGACCCTGAAAATGAAAAAAAAAAGTCAAGGTAAGTCCCATTGTGCCAGATATAATTTCTTTGTTAGATGCTGGCATTCGATGCCATGAGCTTTTAACATTTTTGTCATTCCTGAGAAACTTTTAGTTCCCCTCTGCTTCAGACCTCAGGCTTAAGGGCCCAAGATGGAGCTTCTAGACCCTTAACAGAGGAGAACTGAGACTCTCTGGACAATAATGAACTTGCTCTTCCACCAGTGAGACAAGTGCCATTGTCTGTAACAAGTCACCCCTTTGCCCCTTGGTTGTCATGGTCTGTCATGGAGGATTACAAAGTAATATAAGCAGAGACTATCATGTCAGAGTTTGTTACAAAACAAACTAAATACATAGTCTATGCAGCAGGCAAAAGAAAGCTGCTAAATAGTACATAAGACTGTTTTTAGATCCTGAGAAAGGGGGCAGTGCATCAACTGCAATGTACAGTGGAGCTTAATTAACACTACAGATGCTCCTACCTTTTATACATGACATTAAACACTAACAGCCTTCCTCTGCCTGCATCCAGTGCATTCCTGAGCTGAGGATAACAAACCAGAAGCACTTTCTGAAGGCCTTGTTCACATACGAATATTGTATTGAGGTAAAAAGTTATAATACTATAGCTACCCTAGTGCAGGCATTGTTATTTCAGAATACAGGGTTATGAGCATACAAATAATCTACCACAAGGTTAAACCAGAGTGGGAACTTAAGAGTGCTTCTGCTTCTCCTTAGTAACTACCAGTATGCTTGCTCTTGCTCCACAGTAAGGAGTGGGCAGACAACAATGCAGCAGTATCAGCTGGGGTCTTTGAGTCCCCAAGGTACTCACGACCCCGCTGCCACCACTCTCTGGTGCTTGGTGAAAGGGGGTTTTGTCCAGGGCACAAAACTTGCTCCCTGTACCTCTACATAGGAGACCAAGCTAAGCTGCAATACTGCTGGGGGGGGGGAGGGTTGTTACATAGCTTATTTTACTACTATTTTGGCTTTTATAAGTTACTTACTTTCTCCTGGCTTGTTCACTGGTTTTATAAGCTACTTTCTTCTCTTCTCTAAGTCACCCTGACTTTTTGGGGAAGGGCAGCATATAATTCTAATAAATAAGCTTTCAAACAGAGACCAAGCTGAAGAGCAGGGGAGAGCCTTATTGTGCAGCACAAACTCTCTCAGTCAGTTAGAAAACGATCTCCCGTTTGTCCCTACGTTGCCTATAAAACTTTACACTGAATTTTATAAAATGGCTCTGAGATGCTGTGAAAGTATTGACACACAAAATTCATAAATTGGTTTAAATGCAATTTAATCCTGAAACAGACACACACACAGAAGTCCATTAAACTAGTTTAAAATGTACTGGAACAGTTCAAAAGTGTACTTGGAAAATCAAGTACTCTTTTATACTAGTGCACTGTGAACAAGGTAACGTGTTATGTGTGGACACCAAACGTTCTATGACCCAGTCTGGCTGGTTCTTCAGGCATCCCACATTGCACCACTCCTAACCCACTGCAACTGTCCACTCTGGTATTTGGCCAGACCCCTATTGCCCCCCTT